GTTCCTGCGTTCATAATCCGAGGACGAATCTGAACTTGGTCGGATTGCATCAACACTTCGTGCATGGCCATCATGATTCGATTTACATCCTGCAATTACTGCTTTCAGTAAAAACACTTTTTCTTCGTCATCAATAGACTGAGATTCTCCAATCCATACGTAAACGCTGTTTACCAAATTCCATTGTCCAATAAGATCATAACGAATGTTTGACAGTAAAGTCTTAGCAAAAGTACCCCTTTCCATTGGTTTGTGATCTAACCATTTGCAAATTATTTTGAACAGTTTTCCTTCGTCGACTTTGATATGTGAGGAGGTTGTAAGAATCTTGATGCGGTAGTAATCAAGTTCAAGAAACTCCTCTGATTCTTTCATAACTTTTGTTAGGCTATTATCAAACTTCCTCAGGCAACATTTTATCAACTTAGAGCAGTTGACAGTTTGAGAAAAGTCAAACATACTTGGGAAGCCTTCTTCAGTTATCATTTTTACCAGGTAAGGGTATGTCTTTTTTAGAAGCAATGGGACATCATAACTTTTAGCAAACTTATACACAGCCGTAGCATTCTTATCACTAAGCAAAATTTTTCCAGTGTAAAAGCTTTCCACAATTTCGGAAACAACATCAAAAAGTTCAGTGAACTCAGGCAAAAGTTCAACCTCCATTTTCTTTGTTTCTGAGTTGTGACCAATTTCACCAAACGTCAATAACTGACTGTTCGACTTCAGGATAACTTTGTGAGCTGAAATTGTTAGTTCACCAACACGAACGTCCACATCTGACGTTTCTCCATCAAGATACAACGATTTTAAATGAGCTAGGGTTTTCTTTTCCCATCCCTTTATTTCTTGCGGATCACACTTTTTTGGTACATTATTTTGAGTCGAACAAATAGCAGTTTCTCTGGGTTCAGCTACCATGGCCATGATGTACTCCCCATCCCCTGTTAATGGGTGATACTCGTAAAATATCTCTTCCATATATTACGACCGTCGACGAGTCCAACTCGGCGCGCGTCCTGGTAAGTTGTAAACCTACAACTCCCCTGTTGTCATAAGTGAAAGATTGATTTAGGATAAAGTATAATTAAAGTAATAACATGGGTTTCAGTGGTTTATAAATTATTTGTCAACTGACATGGGATAAAACTCTGCCGAGAATGGAATCAAGGAGTACTATCCTGTGAGAAGCAGAACTATTGTAATTTTGAGATAATAATTAACATCAAAAACTAACAAATATAAAATTTTGTATTATCTTTCTTTTTTTCAATTTTATGCCATTTATAACGTAGAGAAAAGTGTGTCAAACAGTATTATATATACAATAAATTAATTCAAGTGTTGCAATTGGCAGAGCACAATACAGAGGTAACGGAAATTGTCCACTGCTACCAATATTATATAATATGAAATATCAAATTTTGTATTATCTGGTCACGTTTTGTAACATCTGATCAACTTTCAGTGATGATCGATTCTGGTGCTTTTTAATTAGGGGTCGTTCACATATTGCGTAATCAGCTGAGGGGGGGGGGTTTCCGAATGATTACGCTAGTGTAATTTTGACACAATAGCTATGTGTAAAACTGATTACGGAGGCGGGGGTAAAAATGTTCCAAAAAATGATTACGTAATATGTGAACGACCCCTTAACATGCTGGTTCTAACCAGGTTTTGAAAAATTCAAAGCATGATTGTCCAATTTTTTGATAAAATTCAAAACATTTTTTAAAATATTGCTACAGACTAGACAGGGGTGGGGTACGGGGTGTATTCAGAATCACCTTCCGAAAATTCATTAGATATAGTTAGTTTCAACTGCCAGGACCTTTTCGGAAATCAAGATGGTGGTCCCAATTACATTAAAGGGTGATACTCGTAAAATATCTGTTCCATATATTGGGGACCGTCGACGAGTCCAACTCGGCGCGCGTCCTGGTAGGTTGTAAACTTACAATTCGTATTCAAAAAATTATTAAATGACGCCAGGCAAATCAATTTTGTTTTTAAAACCATATATTACATATTTTTGACCGTTTATGAACATGTTTGAGTGAGCTTTGACCATTAACCATTGTTAATGGTTTGGCCCGGCACGCGCTACTTAGTAGCACTTGCCGTTTCGAGAAGAAAGCAGCGCGCGCTACTTCGAAGAAATTTAGACGAGTAACATGTCCTTATTGTCCGTCAAAGTGAGCTTATCATTTCGCTTATCACTTATGTTGATTTGGGTCCATGTAATAAAAACATATGATGCAATTTATGCTGCACTAAGTTTAATAGCTTACAAGTTGGAAATGATATGCGCGGCACTACCAAGAATTTAAAATATTTTAATGTTTAGTCGTTAGTTATACAATAAGTAATAAAATTCTGAATTGACAAGTTTTTCTTGAAAATTATAAATTTATAGTATAAAGTTAGTATTATATTATGCATAACAGTTCGCTACTCATTAAATATTGTAAACGCGACTAAAGTGTTAACGCGCCGCGCACACAGAAGAGCTAGACTTTGAAAAACCAAAAATGAATCGAGCGCTACCATATTTTGGGGATCATAGCGCTCAATTATTCTGTAGTTATTCCCTGCGAAACTTCTTGCGGTACGCTCGGACGTTGCCGTCGAAATTTTCGAAATCTGCCTTATTTTCTGATATTTGTACCCATTGTTCGGGATTAACTGCATACTTTGCCTTAATGGTTTCATTCATCTTTCTCACGCCGACTCTTTGTGATTTCGTCAAGTTACTTAAGTACGTGGCTTGCACAGGCGGGTAGCGGGGTAGGCCCATCAGCGATGAACTCGAGGACATAATCTGTTTTACAACTCCCATACATAACGTATCAAGTTCTTATTTTTTGAGTTCGAGACTGTGCTAATGTGCTCATTGAATGGTGCCGAAGTCTCAGTTCATGTCTGCTTTTGGTTTAATAATATATCCTCCAGCTCTTTTGTCTGTAGTCTGCATCTTATCCGATTGTGTGCTTACCATTACCAATGGTGACCGGATTCGCGAAACTTTATCACTTTTGCAGGGAGTCCTACATTTCATGATTATTATATTACATCACTACGTAACTTACACTTCATGAAAATGTTCTCTAAATTATCAGCTGCTATAAATTATCAGCTGCTTTTGGTCCCATGGAAAAAAAGTTATTTCTAGCCGGTCAGAGGTCACTGGTCAGCGCTTGTGTGTACTTGTATTGTCAAATAACGGAGTAGTTCGCTGTTTATTAGTCTCATAATTGAAATACTGATATCTGGATAATATCCGGTTGGAAGAGACAAGGACAAATGAAACAAGGAAGTTAGGAGTAAGGGCAAATTTTCGGCGTCAACGCCATCTTCAGGCTCAAATTATTTGTTATATAGTAGTGTTAAAAGTATTAAAATTAAAATTTATTTAATACTTTCAACACTACTATATAACAAATAATTTGAGCCTGAAGATTAAAATTAAAATTTATTTAATACTTTCATATTATCCAGATATCTGTACTTGTATTGTGTGAGCGATTTCCAATATATGTCCTAGGGATCATTTAGAAGAGTTGTCGGCCGGAATTTTGATATTGGCCTCTAAAAAGTGTTTATTCGATTTTGAAAATCTTGGACTTGCAATAATTGTCAAAAATCGCGCAATACAATTACACATAATTATAAAGAGTTACTTACTTAGGATACTCAAATTAACCATTATACAATGACTGTTGCCGTTGAGTACTGCTCTTGCCGAGACTTGGAATGGTGGCCTTGATTCCGTGTCTTGATGGATCCCCAGGTCATTTGGGCAGCGTTGGTGTGATTTTCCACTTATGGAATATGCATCGACTTTGATTTTAGTGCTTTGAACCGCTGCCAATAGTCAAGATGTTGAGAACCATGAGGTGAAGTTAGTTGTGGTGCTAGGAGAACACTGAACACTGAATTTCATTTAAGTTAATCCATAATATTCCTCAGTCAATCAGAGTTTTGGTTGAATTTGTTTGATCTCTAGTGTCACTGAATTATAATAAATAATTGTTCTAATGGCATAGCAGTACAAATCCCCTCTTGAAATTCTTGAATTTTACTACTACTACTACTACTACATGTTATTATATCTATCAATTTAAAAGTTTCTCTAAATAAAATAACTGAAATTAAAACTTGTAATCAATACTCCATTAGCAATGTGAATCAGAAGGAAGGTTCCACATAGTCCACAATGGCTACCATTGACAGCTCCGCGCCTATCCGTAAGGTGGTGCGGGTCCAGTTTGGTATTCTCAGTCCAGATGAAATCGTAAGTGCTCTTTTTAATTAGTTAGACATCTGCTTTCTACAGGCAAAAGTTAAATTTTAATCGTTATTTTAATCATTATCAAGATAAAGTGATGTTATAATAGTTGATCAAATCTTAATTTTTGATACAATTAGTAATAGAATATTCCAACGTTGTACTGTCTAACTCCTCATTTAACCAAACCCAGAATCTGATCGTATTTTCTAACAATATACAGAGATAAGAAGATAGCAGAGTTAGAGTTTCATTCCGATTTATAAATTTGAAGACGTGTAATTGTGCTAATTTCAGCGTCAAATGTCCGTGACTCCGGGCGGTATTAGGTATCCTGAGACTATGGAGAATGGAAGACCTAAATTGTTTGGCCTTATGGACCCTCGTCAAGGTATGATTCACTTAGTTGATCAATTTAACAAGTTTCTCACTTGTATGTTTTAAAAGGAGTTCACAAATTCTTTTGTTTAATCCACACCGAATTTATTATTATATTACTTTAATTACTACTACTTACTGAAAAGATCTCCTCGTAGTCGCTGGAGTGGCCTGCACCACACAGTAACTCCTCTTTCCGATGTATGAGACCTCTACAGTCTACAACGTACCTGTTTGTTGCCTTAATTATAGTATAGTATGATTCCAATGTTTGTACTTTACATTTTTACTCCCCAGGTGCGGTTGATCGTTCAACAATCTGCAAAACATGTGCTGGAAACTTCCACGACTGTCCAGGTCACTTTGCGCACATCGAGTTGGCAAAACCTGTCTTTCACATTGGTTTTATGAGTAAGACAGTGAGGGTCTTACGGTGTGTTTGTTTCTTTTGCAGTAAACTTCTTGTCAGTCCCGTAAGTTGACTCTTGTTATAGAATTTATTGTTTAACTCATGTATTGGTTGAATATTAATGTTGAGGTGTTATTGAACAACTCATAATGTGGATGTTGTTTTCACAAAATTGTCCTTTAACTTGCAAAACTTCAGGTAACATTTAAATTAATCCGTCCAAATAATTCAGGAAGATCCTAAGATGAAGGAGATCTTGGTTAGATCAATTGGACAGCCCAAGAAACGGCTCTCCCATGTCTACGATTTGTGCAGATTGCGCAGAATCTGCGAGGGTGGCGACACTATGGATAAGAAGTTTGCTGGAGATGATAACAACGAAGAAGAAGAAACGGTACGTGATTTTTGGAACTAACTCAATTTACGTAGTTTTTGGACGGATAGGATCATGTAAAGTGCATATCATTGATCGACATATCGGTACACGTACTCTTGTTCGATATGTACCCCAGTTCGATATATATTGAAGTTCGACAAACCCTAAAGTTTTACTGTCATTTCCAATACCCAACTAGACTATAAAAATAGTTTTTCAACATATTTCTGTACAGTTTGAGCTTTGTATCAAGTGATAAACTCTTACTCTTACTCTAATGTAAATTCGCTGGTCGCACTTGCCAGCACTATAATGATAGGTTGAACTTGTGACAAAAGGTGGCAATTCTCCTGTAAAGAAAGCCGCTCTTTCAAGAGGGTCTACAGCAAAATGATATTATGATTCCTCATATTTGGAGACATTTTGGAGACATTGTCTCCATGGGAATTTCATGGGAATTGGAGGGGAATTAGAGGGGAATTACGTATTATTGATATTTAAGCACCTAAATTAGCTGTATATGGCTTAACTGAGTTCTGGTCTATCCCTCAAACAAACTAAGACCTTTCACATGCGAAAAGAAGACAAAAAAGGGGGGTGGCGAACCATATTTGCCAAAAAAAATGTCAAAATTTTGTTTTCCATATTTCGCCCTAAAACGTCTCCAATGAGTTTGGTTGGCACCCTGGTTGATCTGGAAGTACGTTACCAGTTATTTGGGGCCTTCAGGGGGGAAAATGGGCCGAAAAATGGGCCGAAAAGGGGCATTTTCGGGTGTTTTCAAATTTGAGATTTCAAAGCCAGATTTTCGGCTTTAGTTGGCTGGGACATGCCCAAATTGGTGTGGGTGAGTTGCATAGAGGTAGTACAAGTGTGATCCGTTGCAGAAATCCGGGTTCCCAAGATTCAAAATGACTTGAAAAGATTTTGTAAAAAAATTGGAGACATTTTGGAATCCATGGGAATTTTTTGGAGACATCCATATTTCGCCCTAAAACGTCTCCAATGAGTTTGGTTGGCACCCTGGTTGATCTGGAAGTACTTTACCAGTTATTTGGGGCCTTCAGGGGGAAAATGGGCCGAAAAATGGGCCGAAAAGGGGCATTTTCGGGTGTTTTCAAATTTGAGATTTCAAAGCCAGATTTTCGGCTTTAGTTGGCTGGGACATGCCCAAATTGGTGTGGGTGAGTTGCATAGAGGTAGTACAAGTGTGATCCGTTGCAGAAATCCGGGTTCCCAAGATTCAAAATGACTTGAAAAGATTTTGTGAAAAATTGGAGACATTTTGGAATCCATGGGAATTTTTTGGAGACATCCATATTTCGCCCTAAAACGTCTCCAATGAGTTTGGTTGGCACCCTGGTTGATCTGGAAGTACGTTACCAGTTATTTGGGGCCTTCAGGGGGGAAAATGGGCCGAAAAATGGGCCGAAAAGGGGCATTTTCGGGTGTTTTCAAATTTGAGATTTCAAAGCCAGATTTTCGGCTTTAGTTGGGCTGGGACATGCCCAAATTGGGGTGGGGGGAGTTGCCCCTAGAGGTATACAAGTTTGGGCCGGTTGGGAGAAATCCGGCCGGGCCCCCCAAAATTCAAAAAAGACCCTTTAAAAAATTTTTTGAAAAAAAATTTGGGGACATTTTTTGGGAAACCATGGGGAATTTTTTTTTTGACATCCATTTTCGCCCTAAAACGTCCCAATGAGTTTGGTTTTTCACCCTGGTTTTATCTGGGAAATACTTTAATTTCCCGTTAAAAGTGGGGGCCTTCAGGGGGGAAAAAAAGGGCCCGGGGGAAAAAAGGGCCGAAAAAAAGGGGGATTTTTTGGGGTTTTTTTTCAAAAGGTTTAGATTTCAAAGCCAGATTTTCGGGGTTTAGTTTTGGGGGGTGGGACATCCCAAAATTGGGGTGGGTTAATTTTCATAAGGTAGTAAAAAAAATTTTTTATCCCGTTTGCCCAAAAACCCCCGGGTTTTTCCCAAAATTCAAAAAAGACTTGGGAAAAAATTTTTGGTGAAAAATTTTGGGGGAAAAATTTGGAATCCAAAGGGAATTTTTTTTTGGGGGCCCTTCCCCAAAATTTTGCCCCCTTTAACAAAGTCCCCCCCCAATGATTTTTTGGGTTGGGGAAAACCCCCGGGTTTTACCCGGAAAGTATTTAAACCCCGTTTTTGGGGCCCCTTCAGGGGGGAAAAAAAGGGCCCCCAAAAAAAAGGGCCCAAAAAAAGGGGGATTTTTTGGGTGTTTTTCCCAAAAAAGAGATTTCCAAAAACCCCCGATTTTTCCCCCTTTTAAATTTGGCTGGGACTTCCCCAAAAATTGGTGTGGGGGGGGAAATTTTTCATTAAAAGGGGTTTGTTTCAAGGTTTTGGGTCCCCCGGGGTTTTTCCCGAAATTCCGGGGGGTTTCCCAAGGGTTTTAAAATTACCTTTAAAAAAAATTTTTTTTTTAAAAAATTGGGGGGACAATTTTGGAAGCCAAAAAGGGGAAATTTTTTGGGGGACATCCCCTAGGTTGGTTTTGCCCCCCAAAAAACGTCTCCCCGAGTTTTTTTGGGGGGTTTGGCCCCCCTGGTTTAAACTGGAAAATACTTTTTCCAAATTTTTTTTGGACCCCCCTTTTCCCCTTTGGGAAAAAAAGGGCCCCCAAAAAAAATTTTGGCCGAAAGGGGGGAATTTTTTGGGGTGGTTTTTTTCCCAAAATTTTAAGGAAAATTTTAAAGCCAATTTTTTTTGGGGTTTAGTTTGGGGTTGGGAAATGCCCCCCAAATTGGTTTGGGGGGGTGGAAAATTTTTCAAAAGAGTTTTACAAAATGTGATCCCGTTGGCCCGAAATCCGGGGTTCCCAAAATTCCCAAAAAGACTTTTAAAAAGGGGTTTTGGAAAAAGTGGAGACAATTTTTTTGGGAAACCTGGGGAAAAATTTTTTTGGGGGACCAAAACCCTAATTCCCCCCCCAAAACCCCCCCCCCCCCCTCCAATGAAAATTTTTGGGGGTTTTTGGCAAAACCCCGGTTTTTAAACCCGGGAAAAATAAGTTTTCCATTAATTTTTTTCCCAGGGGGGGAAAAAGGGGCCCCAAAAATTTGGGCCCAAAAGGGGCCCAATTTTTGGGTGAAAATTTCCAAAAAATTAGAATTTCAAAGCCCCCCAAAAAAAAGGGCCCTTTTGTTTGGCTGGGAAAAATTTCCCCCAAAAAATTTGGGGTGGGTTAGTTTGGGGATTTGTGTTTGTACAAGGGTTGGGGGTCCGTTTTTTCAGAAAAAAACCCCGGGGGTTTCCCAAAAAAATTTTAAAGACTTGAAAAGGGTTTTTTTTAAAAAAATTGGAGCATTTTGGAAAAACCCAAGGGGAAAAATTTTTTTTAGAAAATCCATATTTTTTCCCCCCTAAAAAGTCTCCCCCAAAGAGTTTTTTTTTTGGGTTTTGGCCAAAACCCCGGTTTTTACGGGAAAATTACTTTTTCCATTTTAAATTTTGGGGCCTTCAGGGGGGAAAAATGGGCCCAAAAAAAAAGGGCCCCCAAAAGGGGGGAAATTTTGGGGGGTTTTTTTAAAAAAGGGGAATTTTCCCCAAAGGCCCCGAAAATTTTTTCGGGTTTTGGGTTTGGGTGGACCCCTGCCCCCAAATTTTGGTTTTTTTGGGTGAGGTTTTCAAAAGGGTAGGGACAAGGGTGATCCCCTTTTTCAAAAAAATCCGGGTTTCCCCCCCAAATTCCAAAAATTTAAATTTTAAAAAGGGTTTTGTTAAAAATTTGGGAACCCTTTTTTGGAAACCAATTTTTTGGGTTTTTGGGGAACCCCCCCAAAATTTTTGCCCTAAAAAAAAGGCCTTTCCAAATTTTGGGGTTTTTTGCACCCTGGTTTAATTTTGGAAAGGGACGTTTTTTTCCAATTTTTTTTTGGGGGCCCCCCAGGGGGGAAAAAAGGGCCAAAAAGGGCCCCAAAAGGGGGCAAATTTTTGGGGGTTTTTTTTTTAAATTTTGGAGAAAATTTCCCCAAACCCGATTTTCGGCTTTAGTTGGCGGGACCATTTTCCCCAAATTGGGGGGTTTAAAATTTTTCCAAGAGGGGGTAACCAAAAAGGTGATTCCGTTTTTCCCCGAAACCCCCCGGGGTTTTTCCCCCAAATTTAAAATGAAAATTTTTAAAAATTTTGTTAAAAATTGGAAAAACATTTTGGAACCCATGGGGAAATTTTTTTAGGGGGAAAAATCCAATTTCCCCCCCCTAAAAACGCCCCCAAAAAGTTTGGTTGGGGACCCTTGGGGGTTTTAAAACTGGAAAATTTCCCCTTTAAAACCCTTTATTTTTGGGCCCCTTCAGGGGGAAAATGGGCCCCAAAAATTTGGGCCCCAAAAAAAGGGGGGGTTTTTCCGGGGGGTTTTTTAAAATTTTTTTGGGGGGGGATTTAAAAGGCCAAAAGGATTTTTCGGCTTTTTTTTGGCGGGGAACCAAAGCCCCCAAAATTTGGGGGGGGAGTTTGGGATAAGGGGGATACAAAAATTTTGATCCGTTTTGGGAGAAAAACCGGGTTTTTCCCCAAGGAAAATTAAAAAAGAACCTTTTAAAAGATTTTTGGGGAAAAATTTTGGAGACCCTTTTTTTTTAATCCCCGGAAAAATTTTTTTGGGGAAAAACATCCAATTTTTTCGGGCCCCAAAAAAAAGTCTCCAAAAAGGAAAATTTTGGTTTTTGGGAAAACCCCGGGTTGATTCCCGGAAGTACCTTTTAAACCCATTTATTTGGGGGCCTTTAGGGGGGAAAAAAGGGGCCGAAAAATGGGCCGAAAAGGGGGCCAATTTTTTTGGGTGTTTTTCCCCAAATTTTTGGAGATTTTTAAAGCCAGATTTTCGGGGGGTTTATTTTGGGTGGGGAAAAGGCCCCCAAAAATTTTGGTTTTGGGGGAAATTTGGGGATAGAGGTAGAAAAAAAGGGGATCCCTTTTTGCAAAAAAACCCCCGGGTTTTTCCCCAAAAATTTAAAATGAAAAAATTTAAAAGATTTTTTTGAAAAAATTTG